TAGCGGAGGAAGGGGAGGAGTAGCGTGCAACTACAGCGTCGTACAAGGCCTGAGCGGTCTTGCACTGACTAAAGTGGGCACGCTCAGAGGAAGGGAGGTGGCGACGCACAGCAAGACGTGCAGCAGCATCGCGGGTCGCCCACTTGGAGCGAGCAGCAGAGTCAGCATCAGCAGGCGGGGCAGGGACAGCGCCAGAGACAAAGTCAAAGAGAGAGACCTCATCTATCGCATCACACAGTAAGTACAGCTGCAGGTCTTCAATCCAGACGGCAAAGTCAATGGCCCTCCCCTCAGCGTCAAAAGTAAGAACATTGGGGGTGGCCATGGCAGCAGCTGAAAGTCTCACCGGGCTAGGAGAGTCGGGTAGGACAGAAGCAGGCAGCTCGGGCTGGGTCGGGCGGCTCGGGCGGCTCGGGCGGCTCGGGCGGCTCGGGTAGCTCGGGTACCGGGCGGCTCGGCTGCTGCTGGGCGGCTCGGCTGCTGCTGTGCGGCTCAGCTGCTGCTGGGCGGCTCGGCTGCGGCTGGGCGGCTCGGCTGCTGCTGGGCGGCTCGGCTGCGGCTGGGCGGCTCGGCTGCTGCTGGGCGGCGCGGCTGCTGCTGGGCGGCTCAGCTGCTGCTGGGCGGCTCGGCTGCGGCTGGGCGGCTCGGCTGCTGCTGGGCGGCTCGGCGGGGCCGTCAGGGTGCAGCTGCGGGGCCGGGACAGGGGACGGCGGAGCCGTCAGGTGGCGGGCCAGCAGGTGAGGTGGCGAGCCGTCGGGTGAGGCGGCGGGGCCGTCAGGTCAGGTGGCGGGCCAGCAGGTGAGGCGGCGGGGCCGTCAGGTCAGGTGGCGGGCCAGCGGGTGAGGCGGCGGGCCGTCAGGTGAGGTGGCGGGCCAGCAGGTCAGGCGGCGGGCCGTCAGGTGAGGCGGCGGGGCCGTCAGGTCAGGTGGCGGGCCAGTAGGTGAGGCGGCGGGCCGTCAAGTGAGGCGGCGGGGCCGTCAGGTAAGGTGGCGGCGGGCCGTCAGGTGAGGCGGCGGGGCCGTCAGGTAAGGTGGCGGGCCAGCAGGTGAGACGGTGGGCCGTCAGGTGAGGCGGCAGGGCCGTCTGGTGAGGTGGCGGGCCAGAAGTCGAGGCGGCGGGCCGTCAGGTGAGGCGGCGGCCGTCAGGTAAGGCGGCTGCGGGGCCGACAGAGGTGCAGCGGGGGGGGGGGCCTGCTGCAGCGACGAAGAGGCCGCGCGGCCGTCTGGAGGGCGGCGCGGCGCGGCAGAGCAGAGAGGGCGGCGCGGCGCGGCTGTAAGGGCCGCGCGAAGTGGGGCCTGGGCCGCGCGCGCGAAAAAAAATTGAGTCGCGCGCGCGACTCTCGGGGCGCCACAAGGGCAGCTCGACGCGCACTAGGGGGAGCGCGCCTCGGGGAGAATAGGGCGCGCTCCGGGCAGGAAAAAAAATCGTGGGTGGGCCCAAAGAACGGTCCTTAGGAGGGACCCGCTCTATACCATGTGAAACTAACAGAACAGGAATGAATTGACTAAGTCAGAGTTGGGTACAAATACAACCCTAGCAAACTGTACCCCATATGTGCTACCCCACTATAGCCTACAAACATGCATCAGCCATAATAATCTGACAGCTCACCTCTTGACCTTGCTTGTACTCTTGCATATATATATATATATATATACCTGCTCTTTCTTGTTTAGCCTTATATATATCTGTCTACCCCTGCATGTGAACTGGCCTTGTGGCCTTGACCTTGTGCTCGGGCTGTGTGGTGACTTTGTGATCCACCCTGAGCTTGCTTTGCTTTGATTTGCTTGACTGGTCTTGTGACCCCTTGTTCTCCCCCACTTTGCCTATGGGGGTGTGTCAGAACATATAGCTTTTGCATATTGTGTAGGCTATAGTGGGGTAGCCCACAAGGGGTACAACCCAATTAGGGTTAGTACTTGTACTCAGTTCATTCATAGTTCATTCATTCTCGTTCTCATTTTATCACAACAATGCTGTTGTTTTCACCAAGGCACCTCCGCCTTGTGATCATTAGCGCTTCTGCACTCAGTTGGGTCTTGTCCCTGTCTTGCCTCACTTGCTCAACTTTTGACCTTGCTTGTACTGTTACATATATATATACCTGCTCTTGCTTGTCTAGCCTTATATATATATATATACTCCTGCATGTGAACTGGCCTTGTGGCCTTGTACTTGTGCTCGGAATGTGTGGTGACTTTGTGATCCACCCTGAGCTTGCTTTGTTTGCTTTGCTTGACTGGTCTTGTGACCCCTTGTTCTCCCCCACTTTGCCTATGGGGGTGTGTCAGAACATATAGCTTGTGCTTATTGTGTAGGCTATAGTGGGGTAGCCCATAAGGGGTACAACCCAATTAGGGTTAGTACTTGTACTCAGTTCTTTCATAGTTCAATCATTCTCGTTTCAGTTTTCTCATACCCTCCTTATTCGTCCGAGTCCGATCGATAGCATGAATCGGTACTGTGACTCGGTGAGGGTCGGTGGGGTTGGGCGAGCAGGTAGTCTCGTCTGTAGTTGGCCCGATTCCTACTGACTGCTGGCGTTTCCCTGCTTTGGAGACTCCCTCCCCTGCTCTGCTCCGCGGCGCCTTAGCTCCTCTGGGCATTCGCTCTTGGGATGGCCCGGCCTGTTGCAAGCAAAGCAGCGCCCCTTAAACGGCGCGGCAGCTGCATTCGTCGCAACAGCGTGTACTGTGGCGTGCTCGATCGGTCCCCGAGGACGATGTCCATAGTAGGACCCCGGTCTCGGACGGCGTAGAATGTCGATTTTCTCGGCGAGCGCGAGAATCTCGTTGAAGTTCGAGAGCCCGCGTAGCATGATTTCGTGCGAGATGTCCGGCTTCAGCCCTCCGACGTAACGGTCCACCCGCTCCGCTTCGTGCATTTAGCCGACTTGCTCGCATAATGCGAGAAAACCACTCGTATAGACTTGAACCAATCCAAGCTGCCGCTAAGTGCGCTATCTCTGACGCGCCGAAATAGAAGTCGTGATCGGCTCGAAGCGCGCCCGAAGCCATGCGCACCACGCATCCCACGTGCTGTATTGGGCGGTCTCGCAGAATGAACTCCAGGTGACAGCTGGGCCCGTGGGCCCTTCCTTTTGCGACGGTGGCTCGTAGGCGCGTGGCGACGTCACGATGACTCGCCACCAGTCCATGGCGGGGCCCCTTAGCAGCGAAACGGCATACCGAATCTTCACTGCGTCCGACTCGACGTAATTCGCGTCGAAGAAGATGTTCATCGTGAAGACCCACGATTGAACCGTCGGACCTCCACGCTGGCTCGGGTCGAAGCAGGGCAGGCGTTGCGGCTTGAGTGGCATTGGTGCCATAATGGTCTGTTCGCCACTTGTCGTCGCGAACTCCACGTGCCGACGGGCTTCGCGAGGCTCCCACGGGCTTGGTGCGACTCTGTTTCCTCCCATGTCAGGCATTGGCTGGGCGGCGCCATCGCTGGCTGCGCCTGAGCGCTGTCCCACGCTGTTGTTTTGTGTTGGTGTGCCGGACGAGATGACGATCGGCTCGTCTGATTGTGCAGATGCATTTGTCGGTGTGTGTGGTGGCGCTGGAGTGTTCATCGTTGATTGCTGACGCGCGGAGTCACGTTCCGCCGTGAGCGTCGCAATTTCGAGCGCCGAATCTTCAAGTTGGCGCACCAGATGGTCGAGCTGCTCCTGCGTCAATGTGGCGAGCGTGAATTCGGCCATGGCGGGGGTGTCGGGCGAGCTCAGCGAGAGCCTCGGTCGTGGCCGTGCGTGCTTACGAGAGAACACTACGAGCGGCGGTGCTGTGTTGCTGAGAGACGTCTACCCCCCCAAAAATTGAGATAGTGGGGAAGCGAAGGTGTGGATGCGGTCCGAGAGGAGATCGTAGGCTCTGATACCAAGTGTTACGAGTGCAATTGAGTGAACGAACGAGAATTGCACTATCGAAGCAAGAGTACAATGAGCGAAGGCATGAGCGAAGAATATATAGCGAAGCTACAGTGGTAACGGTAATGGACTGTGGTTGTCGCGCGACGGGCCTGAGACTGAGGTTCGGAAAAAGTGCCGAAGCGGAGGCCCGGAGCGCGGGTTACCCGCCGAGCCGTGAGGTCGGGGTGCGATGTGCGAAGGTGGCGGGCGGATTGTCGATGCGAGGGTTGCGAGTGGTAACGGTGCTGACTGTGGTGCTATAGTGATGTACGTGTTGAGTAGGGATGCGAAGTAAGGAAAAGGAATTTTCCTTAGAGTTGTGCATGATTGGCTCGGGGGTTCGTGGATGGGTTTGGATCAATTTTCGACTTAGCGAGAATCACTAAGTCTGTTTCATGTGGTTTCTGCTCGCCAGTATTTTGGCATAACCCACAGGTTTCGTAATCACTATTCATCGGAATCTTTCCCGCCTGTTACTGTAGCATCTCCTCCACAATGAAGATCTGTAAATTCAGTTGGCGTGGCTCTTGCGCGCTTCGGGGGCACAAGGTGGATATGCCATATTGGCGCTTTGCAGTCACTTCGAAGTCACATTTCCGTTTCTTGTGCGAAGTGACATATAAGTCACTTTTTACAGTGTTGGTTTACCGCAGGTAGGTGGTACATTCCCGCAGCTTTCCCGTCGAAAAACCTTCGGCCCCCATTTCTGGCCAATTTTTTTTTCCGCGATGTTACAACATGCTTACAACAACTCCACGTTCAGAGGGTCTCTATGGTGGTGAAGAAATGGTGCCAGATGATAAAGAATGGTCAAAACCAACTTCTTACACCTGGTTATCGTGACTTTTGGGGACATGTGTAAATCTTTGCCATGATTCATGCACGGAAAGAACAGGTACACGTTGTCAACCAGTAGTTGGCTCAGCGTTTGCATCCTACTATTACTTTGATACTTCTGGCCAGGTGAGGATTGCTACAGAGGCAGCAGGGTAGAACGTCCTGGCTGCCTCCAGAGCAAGTACCACCGAAGGCATGATACTGCTCAGTCCTACCAGCACTAGTTCTGGTGCTACTGGTAATAGTTCTAGATACCCGGAGGAATAAGCAGGGTGCTGGTCCCCTGGATCGTGAAGTCCGAGCCTACCCACAAATTCGGCACAGCGAGCACGGTGGGCAGCGCGGCGGGGCCTTTGAAGGCGACGAAGGGCTGAAAGTTGGGGCCGCGCTTGGTGACCTGCGTGCCCTCGAGAGTGTCGAGCAGCGTGCCGCCGGGAAGGTTTGTGAGGTTGCGGTAGAGGTAGCGCGTGGTGATGGTGTTGAAGGAGAGAATGGCGGTCTGCTGGTCCGAGGTGTAGCTTCGTAGCACGAAGATGTTGGCGGGGAGGAGGATGGTGATGTCTGTGAGCGGGATGAGCGATTTCACTGCGCCGGGTGGGAGGAAGGAGGGTTGTTTGCCGGGAGGTCGTGAGAATATGTTGGGACAGGACAAGTGCTGATGTAATGTTACCAAGAACTCGAATCGTGATGGGATATCAGTAGCTCTTCAAATTGGAAGTGGTATTCTCCAGCGTTTAAACGGAAGAATACCCTATCAGGTGATTAGTTTATTAATGCATCACGAACAGCCTGTGGAGTGGGGCAATCACGAATCTTTAAAAATTTGTGGCGGTGAATAAGCTTACAGTATTTGTCGATCAGGTCGTGGACGTTCTTGAAATCCGGCCGCTGCTTGATGCTGTCGCTTGCTTTCCGCACCTCGGTGGCGCGCAGCGCTTGGACGTGGGAGACGCTTACTATCGCGGAAAGCGTGACTAGAACAAGGACAGCAGTTCTGGTCAAAGATGCCATTTCTGGGACGTCGCTGACGGGCTGGGAGGTCGATAGGTGATGGTAAGGCACCAAAACTTGACTAAATCGTATGGGTGCTGATGCACCACGTCGAAGTGGAGGTTGCTGGGTTGACGCTTTACCGATTGCTTCAGCGAAGATGGGAGGGAACAAAAAACTGGGAAGCCCGTGGGATATTCAAATGGAGGGTTTGTGTTGATGAGAATGTCTCTCGCAGTCGCATATTTGTACAATTATTGCATCCCTACGCACCGCGCATTGTTGCTCCGACGTCGCCCTTGAAAACATTCGGCCGCGTCGCCCCGGTGTGTGCTTTCCAGCGATTCCAAACATCCTCGCTGCAACGCATGGTAACTAGATCATTTCTGTACATTCAGCTCGCGAGCGCGTTCGAGTTCGGTGGCGAAGATTCTGCCGCTTCGTAGGGTCGTCTGCAGTACCTTCGTTAGTTTCTGGAGGCAGTTTTGTCGTTTTCGAGATTCTCAACGCTGAGCGGCGAATTCGTCGGCTAGACGCTGATCGTGTCGGTTACAAGGTGGTGTGCCACCACTCCCTAGAGGTTTCGTTGCAACGGTGAAGGTCACGACGTGCCGCGACTCTTTATAACAAAAGTCTTAGATATTGTAGTAGGGTCACTCGAATACGTATTCATTATTTTGTGATGCTAAACATATGTATATATTTATGCACAATTTTACCACCAATAATCATTGCGCCAAATAATGTGGACAACAGAACCAAGCCGTGCTATAAAATCAAACGCCCATATGCTAGCTGCCTGCAGTTTGTTATCAAACCACACAAAGAAATGGGTACACAACCAGGCCCTCCATTTAAAACCCGACTTTCACTTGGCTGTTTTCAAATTCAAGATTCTTGAATAATAACTCGCCAAAAACCAAGTTACTGTTACGAATAGTAATACTTGAATATTACTGTGCACTCCTCACCGCAGCAAAGAGAAGCACGCAGTATCGCGAATGAACGCGAAGCATCAGACGGTTGGAAACGACTCGAAGCGTCATACAGTTGGGACGCATCTGAACCGTCGGAGCAGACAGCATCAGGCAGCTGCAGGCAGGATGGTTTCGGCGGGAACAGTTTCGTAACTGTTCGCGCTGCACGGTTGGGAATGTATTTGAATAAGGGAATGGAGCCCTTAGAATACATGGCTAGCTAGGTCGTTTCATCTCCCCTGTACTCATATTTATACTTGCTGTATTTGCATGTTTTATTTCATCTCAAAGCATTTTACATTCACTCTGCTATTGAGGTCAAGGGCCCACCAACATCACTTCTCTGCGTGCGAACCTTCCTGAGTAGATCATAGGCCACGATCAACTTCTGATCGCAGCATGATATGAGAGCGACTCAGGAATCCTTCGCACTGCCATCTCCGAAATCTGCGACATTCGGAAAGTGGCATCCGACACACGATCACGTGTAAGAATGGCCGGAGGATCTGGAGGTCAGACGAATCTGACTGCTGAAGCGCAGCCCAACCCGGCTACGACAAACGAGGAAAGGACGACGATTACTTCCGCCGTCCTCGCACAACTGCTTCAGCGACTCACGAGCATGGAGCAAGGGCTCCAGACATTGCGGAATGGCGATGCGGGAACTTCTTCCCAACCCACTCAACCGGCCTCAAACGGCCAAAACTCCGCCCCGCAAGGCTTCTCCCTAGATACGAATTGCTCAACCCCCAAGACTCCCTGTCTCAGCGATGAAGCAATTCTCTCCGCTCAATCTAGGTTTTTGAACATATAAAAAATAAAGACAAGTGTGTGCTTTGACGGCAGAGACTTTTACACCTGGAGCTTCGAGCTGGAGCTGCTGCTGCAAAACGCACAGATTTATCATTACTTCGACGGGAGCTACTCGGGACCTGCTGAGGACACCGACGACGCAAGGACTCGCTATTATAACGAGTCCCTGATGGCGTACGGGATTCTTCTGCGTAACATGTCGCCGGCGGAGCGCCTGAACATTCGTTCATACAAGACATTGGCTGCCCCAGCCCTCGACGCTTGGCGCCACCTGAACGGCGTGTATCAGCCCAAGGACTCCGTTTCCTCGAGCCGACTACTCCAGCAACTGCTGGAAACTAAGATTACCTCAGGGGAGAAGGTCAACAGCTACATCAACCGCTGTCGGAGCCTTCGGGATCAAATCGTGAAGTTGGGAAGCTCGATTTCCGAGGAAATCTTCGTGAACATTGTGCTTCAAGGGCTTGGCCCAGAGTGAGAGAATTGAAACGAGAATGAATGAACTATGAATGAATTGGGTACAAGTACTAACCCTAATTGGGTTGTACCCCTTATGGGCTACCCCACTATAGCCTACACAATATGCATGAGCTATAATGTTCTGACACACCCCCATAGGCAAAGTGGGGGAGAACAAGGGGTCACAAGACCAGTCAAGCAAAGCAAGCTCAGGGTGGATCACAAAGTCACCACACATTCCGAGCACAAGTTCAAGGCCACAAGGCCAGTTCACATGCAGGAGTACATATATATAAAAAAGGGCTAGACAAGCAAGAGCAGGTATATATATATGTAACAGTACAAGCAAGGTCAAGAGGTGAGCAAGTGAGGCAAGGTAGGCACAAGGCCCAGCTGAGTACAGAAGCGCTGATGGTTAAAAGGCGCAAGCGCCTTGGTGAAGATATCAGCAGTGTTGGCCTCAGAGGCCACGTACGCAAGACGCAGCTGACCACTCTGCTGCAGCTCACGAGCAAGAAAGTAGCGGAGAGCAATGTGCTTCGTTCTGTGCTCCAGTTGCTGCTCCCGACACAAGGCCAGCATGGCCTTGTTGTCTACGTACAGCACTGGAGGAGAACGAGGCGGCTCTCCGAGGTCAGTCAGCAGGTAGGTGAGCCAGCGAAGCTCCTGTGCAGCCATGGCTCCTGCGTAGATCTCAGCCTCACAACTGGAGCCGAGAACAGAAGACGAGCGAGTAGCCCGCCACGAAACAGAGCCGGAACCAAGGCTGAAGGTGTAACCAAGTGACGACCGCTGCGTAGCCTGGTCGTCAGCCCAAGAAGCGTCTGCGTGCCCAATAAGGACCACTGGACTCTGCCCTCCAAGCACAAGCCCCATGCCCGACGTACTGCACAAGTAGCGCAACACCCTCTTCGCTGCAGCCATGTGCTCCGGTCTGTGTCTCCCAGGAGCAACATAGCGTGCGAGAATGCTAAGAGGGTATGCAAGGTCAGGTCGTGTGCAGGTCATCAGGTACATGAGGCAGCCAACAAGCTCTGGGTACGGGCCACTCGACTCTACGGACTCATCCGAAGGCAGAGCTGAGAGCGAGTGGCGAGTAGGCAGAGGAGTGGCCTGAGGCGAGGAGTACGTGAAGCCGAAGCGCTGAAGGACCTGCTGCACCATGTGTGACTGAGTCAGGGTTATGGTGCGGCGTGCTCTGTCCCGAGTGATCTGCAAGCCAAGGTAGATGCGCAGTTCACCCAGGTCAGTGCACGTGTGTCTCTTCTGCAGCTCGGACTTCACGTGGGCGAGTCCAGCAGTGTCAGCTGTGGCAAAGACCAAGTCGTCGACGTACACGAGGATGTAGAACGGCGGCGAAGAAGTGTCGGTGCGCAGAAACAGCGACGGGTCGGCAGTAGACGGAGCAAACCCAAGAGCCGCAAGTGTAGTCCTCAGTGTGTCGTGCCACTCACGCGGTGCCTGGCGGAGACCGTAGACTGGCCACCGGAGGCTGCACTGGGTGCCAGGAGGAAAAGACCCAGTGAAGCCAGGTGGGCGACGCAGCCAGATCTCCTCGTGCAGGCTGCCCTGCAAGAAAGCAGTGCTGAAGTCAAGAGAGTGTAGCTCGTAGTCACGGTGAGCAGCTATGTGCAACAGTACCCGAAGAGTGGTCATCTTCGGGGTGGGAGAGAAGGTCTTAAAGTAGTCAACTCCCTGCCGCTGACTGAAGCCACGAGCCACGTAACGCGCCTTGAAGACAGGCGGAGAACCCGGCGGCCGCTTCACCCTGAAAATCTACATGCCACTAACGATGTTCGCCCCAGGCGGGGGAACCTCGTCCACGTAGGTGCCTGTGGACTTCAAGGAAGCCATCTCTGCGTCCATAGCTGCCTGCCACTGAGAGGAGTAGGGACCCTCTTTTGCCTCCGCGTAAGAGCGCGGAGTCGGGATGTCAAGTGCATCCGGGTCTCCCTCAGGGGTAAGCAGTACGGACACGAGATGAGGTGAAGCAGCGGCCAAGCACTGAAACTCCTCCTGCCTGTCCTCGAAGACGTCCGTGCCAAGGGCACACTCACCCCCGACGGACGGAGGACAGACAGACTCACACTCAGCATTAAGACTGGCGGCATAGTCTAGGCGACAGCGAGCAGCAAAGTCGACGAGCTCAGCAACTAGGGCAGACGCAGCAGTGGACTCAAAGGAAGGGTCATAGACAACAGTAGCAAAGAGACGCATGACAGTAGGACTGGCAACACGAAGAGAGTCCGACTCCGGGTCGGCAAGAGCAGGAAGAGAAGACTCAGGAGGAGAAGGCAAAGGGGCACGCAGAGGAGCAGTGGACAGACACAGAGACATCCGGTGCGTGCCAGGGACAGGAGGAGGACACTGACGCAAATCGCGACCACTAGTGCGAGCAGCACGGACAGGCGACGAAGGGCGAGACGCAGGCTCACGACGCTCAGCAAGACCTCCAGTAGGACCAGTGTAGAGAGACGGAGCAGGCAGTGGGGAGGCCGGCTGTAACTGTAACTGCGACGGGACAGACTGTGGACACTCTAAGGGAGGAGGAGGACTAGTAGAAGACGGGAGACCAAGAACCTGCTGTAGGAGCGGAACGAAGTACGGCCGAGGCCGCGCGGCGACTCCAGACACAGCAGGGACAGCACCAGTACCCCCAGTGGCAGCACCAGCACCAGTAGCAGCTCCAGCTCCAGTACCTCCAGCAACACCAGTAGTACCCCCAGCAGGACCGCCTCCAGGACCGACAGCAGTAGCCTCCGCGCCAATACC